CTATTCAAGACACTTAAACAAAGCCTTCGATTCTCTTTTCGTGAAAAGAATAAATTCTGACAAATTAACCGATAATTGGTAGAGTTTCAAAAAACGCGCAAGAACTTGTTAAGAAGCTGCGTTGTGGCGTTGGAAAATCGAGTGAAGCAATCCGTTTTCATAAAAGCAAATGATTTCATTTACTACTCACCTCGCGTTTTCCATTTGAACGTTGATATGTATAAGATGAACAATATTGAAATTTCGATTAATTTAGATTTGTAAACAAACTTTTGGATGATAATCAAAGTTTGCCGTTTTTGTTTGCTCGCTTGCTTAATTGCGCTCGCATCACGATCGTTTCCTTTCTCCTAAACGTCCGAAACGCGCGTGTCCACGATATTTTCCTGCGAGAAGACAATAAGTTAACACCAAGACTCGTAAAACAAACTAAAGCCCATAATCCAGAGACAAAACTCTCTTTGTAAAGCAAGATCCTTCCAAGTTCGTAGCGCACAATGTTGATTCGAGGTTGATGATTGTTTGCGGTTCTTTTTTTAACCGATAGTCGTTTGAAACACAGACCGAAGAACGTAGGGCTTTGTACCGATAGAATACTTTAGATTTGTAACACTTAGCAATCACTGTTTTCTTCAGTTTCACAACAGTTCTTACTTTTCTTCATCACGCGAGACTGGAACCACACGACCTTTGTATCACAAAGCTGTGACTGCTACACGGACTATATTCTGTCGCTTCACACCCCCTTGAAAAACGTGTTTACCTGTGGATTATTCTGTAGGTCTTTTTTTACTCTTTAGATTATCCTTTGAAACAATGTGTGTTGATCGCAAAACTTCTCACACTTCAGTGACGAAAGCGTGCTCTGTTCGCCGCCCACGAGTCGTTTCATATCAGTTCTGTGTGTTGCATGCTGAAAACCTCAGCAAATTCAATGAGTCTTCACTGACAATGTCAATTGTGAAAATATTCAAATGTGGGTCGAAGCCCGTGGTGTTAGCGTCACCGATGACTTAAGAGAGACTTTAAAAAGTGCTAAATGCCTTTTATCCTTTGTCGTACTAGTTTTTCAGCTGTGGGTGACTTATTTGTGAGCATAAGCTCCTCTCACGCATAGAGAAAAACGTCAGAAGTTATTAATTTAACGATGATTTTCTCCCAAAGCATTTATGTCTCGTGTGGGTTATTAAAAAAAAAAGCTTTCTGGAGCAACGATAGCTTGTTTTGAAATTGTTCATCTGCAAAACACGAGAAGTGATTTCTGAAGAGTGCTTCACTCAAAACAATAGGCCGAATAAATCTGAAGAAAAGAGATTTCCGTTAGGTGCGAATCGAGTTCACGAAGCTGTTCTTTTTTTAAGTACTGCTGCTTTTCCCTCACAGCCAAAAAACTTATATAGGTTTAATCTGTCACCCTGGTAAACAGGCAGATGCACGAGGAAAAAAAATCAACGTTTGCTTTTTCCGTTTTGAATATTTAAAACTGTTTGCGAAGGTCGTTTCTGTTAAGAAGAGGATACAGCCGTGCCCGGTGGTTTTCAGTATTGTTTCTAGGGCCATATATGATTATATTTTGTCTAATTTTATTTGCATTTGACGCATTAATATGAATGTTTTTCATCGTTTATCATATGGCATAGCTCTCACGGACCACTAAACCGTACAGCAGAATTTCTAAAGGAAATAAGTCTTCTTTATAGCAGAATCTGACTGAGACTTTGAATTTGAACTTTGAAACTTTTTCAAAAGCACTGGAGTGTAACATCAGTTGTTCATCAGCCCAATAAATTAATTCAATGAAGGGAAGAATGATTTAGTTGAGTGCCCGTGTAACAATAATAGACTCCAACAGATTTCTTCGTTTCCTACCGCTAAAAAAAAAATTGCAACCGAAGAAAACCGTGATCATGTTAATTCAGGGTGCAGGTGATAAACTGAGAAATGATCTTATAGATCTGTAAACCCGTCGATTGCAGTTCAGTTAAAAAAAAAGGAAGGTACAGTGAAATACACCCACACACCAGTGAGGAAGCGGAAGACGTGATAACAATGCAGCCTCGGAAAAAATGACACGATTCTACCGTGCTCAGTTAAGTTGTCTAAACGTTTATCAAATATTCTTTAAAAAGTATATTGCTTTCAATAAAACGATCGAAGCAGTTAAGGGGTTAAGTTGTTACATTGAATAGTTCTCCGCTACTGCGAATGAAATCTTTGCGGAACACAATAACTTTGAGTTATTTTTTCTCTTAATAACCTTGCCCTGGGCACAGGAAAAGCTGGATTCTGTTGTCTATTCGCGCCTAGAGAAGAAAATCAGCTGCTTCCTTGCTTTCATTCTTTTTAAATTTTATTGTCATTAAGATTCTTGAAAAAAAAATTGAAGAGATCGCACTTGCGTCCGATTATAATTCATCGTCATTAAATATTGATTTGCCGTATCATTGTTTACACACGATCGAAACATAAGTAATTTTGATCGAGTTCTGACTGTTCCTCTATCATAGCTTTTCGATTTTCTTCGAAAGCTCATGAATATTCTAAAATATTTACCAAATTTTGCGTTATTTGAAACACATTACGTCTGCTGGGTTTTTGTTGAAGAACGCAAAAGATCTGCGTTAAACTTGTTCAAAGGATGTAAATGAAGATTTTGTGAGTAGCAATAAGAAAGAAGTTTTTGGGGAGACTGTGAGAATCGCAGTAAACCGTCGAAAATCTTGCTTTCTCTCAAATGCCTCATTAGTATGCAAACATAGAACAAAAGAATACTTTGTAAAGAGAACATCTCTCAAAACGGGCTGGAGAAGATGAGTTCTTCCGAAGAGGAAATACTTCAGCGTTCATAGCGGTCACTTTTCACTACAAAAGTTTTTTCTGGTACATTTACCTTTCAGTTTTATGCCTCAATGTTAAGGTTTAGGACTTCGAAGATAACTTTTACGTTTGTAAAAAAAAAATGTCCGCCAAGGACAGTAAAACTGACTTCGTTAACGAGTTATTCACGGAGACAGTAACACTTTCACAAAGTTAATAACAACCAGGTTCATTGCCAATTCAAGAGGTTTTTCCTCGTGTTAGGCAATTATAAGTCAAATAGACGCTGCTCTGATTTTGTCTGGGGAATAATAGCGAGTTTGAAATGTTACAAAGCCAACGATTATCAATTGGAGATTAGGGTCATGATTAGGTTTGCTAGTGAGTCACTTTTGTTGCCTGCAGGTTGCTTAAGCGATAGACTCTCCCATGTGCTTCAACAAATGACGTCGAATTAGTGTCAGGTAAAGTTTCAATCATGTTTCAGTCTTATCCAAATATCGGCGGGAAGAGAAGCCATCATTGACCTCTTGGCACATTGTCTAGTTACGCCTTGTAACGTGAAGTGCTTAGACCAAAAAAAAACATTGCAAAAGGTGTCGAATGGAAATTAGAGTCAATTTCTTTTGTGATAAGTATTGTCTTCGGGCAATCGAGTACAATCTTTGTATATTTATGAAAAGAATTTTTTGTTGGACGTGATCGGTCGTTTTTCTCTTCAGCTCCCAGAGGGGGACAGAAAGGGGTGTGATGTGCCCCTTTTACGTCCCAAGAATGAAGTGTTCTCCTGTTCGTTTCTGTTGCTTTCAAAGAGCACGCTCGTAGAGTGTAGCTAGCCAGCTAAGCTGCAACAATATGGCGTGTATTTTGAGGATTTTCTGTGGTTGTTTGCGAGATAAGGTTCATTGTCTCGAGTTGTATTCATCGCCGCGAGAGAGAGCTGAATTTCCCAGTGGAACAAAAGTTGAATACAATACGCAGGTGCTAACAATTAATTCCAGCTAACCTCAATGCTATGTGTTTAAAATAAGACGATTAAAAATTGTTTTGGGACGTGTGTGCCTCAGCAACAGCCCAGCCGCATGGGTCAAACGATGGGCCCAATGTGCTCTCGCCAAATGTCTGAAGCATGTGTTAAAAAAGCCCTCTATAGGCAGACTGTTAAAATGACGTCATTTTGGAGCCTGTGAGACATGCCTTGATTACTTCAAGCTAAGAATCATGTTTTCAGATCCAACACGCGAAAGCACGCTGTATTGTTTAATAGAGTTGACCATTTCAAAGGTGAATTTACTAAACTTACAAATCGCTCGCATTACATGTTGTAGGACGCTACACCACGACTACATTTCATTGTTCTGCTCATCTTATTAAAGCGCAAAAAAACATGGAACCCTTATTGCTTGGATGAGTCCAATACTAGATCTTTTATTACTTGAAAAGTCTGTTTTCGACTGTGATTGAAAATGCTTGCTCTGAGGGTATCCTCTGTGGAGTGACTATTTGCTTTGTATGAGCCTCCAAGACAGTTCAACTGTGTGTGTCAGAGAGTTCGTTCACTGCAATTTAGAATCTGCCTTTGACACAGTCACCTCAGGGGTCTGCTAGTGAATAACTGGCTGAATAAAATCCGCGTGTTGTGGAGTTTCTTTCACAGATCCCTACCCTGTCTGTATGAGGGGGGTTTGAGCTTCTGATATTAACCTAACATCGTGATGAAAAACAGTTACAGTGCACTCACGATTTAGCTCGAGACATAGCTTCGTGTTTTGACAAAACTGGACTCTTTATAGCATACCGAAGCTCAATTAGGCCCTTCTTGAGAGTTACGGTTTCTATAGGAAACTGACGTGTCTGTACGTCTGAGTTACTGTAGGCTTGCCTCAAGGTGTTAAAGTGTACAAGAAATTAGCATAACACTGTGCATCCATACATTCCCATGTTTTAATCTCCCACGTTAAATTTACTTGTTCTCCACTTCTGTTACTCTATTTAAGGTGTGTAATTCTAGCACGGTAGCACACGCGGTTTTATTTTAGCCTTTATTTTCCCAGATCGAAAGTTGTGATAATCCAATTAATTGTTTGTCAAAACAAACGCTGCATCTGATTGGCTGGCTCAGCAGGTGGAGTCTTATTAAACTGCGCTCAAAACCTCATTTTAGTTTAACTTTTGCTCTCGAAGATACAACATTGATACATTTCGTCAACAACAAGGCTTTCACCTCCGATCTGTATCTCGCGGTTCGTTCGTCAACACAGAGTTTTCTATCCGTTCTCTTCGAGAGCAAGCCCTTCTGTTCAATTCAAGAAGAGATTTGCGATTTCCTCAGTCAATTCAGAATGGAGTATCCTGATTTTGCCTTTTCAATGCCAACCTGCTATCAGCTGGGAATTCCGAGTGAAAATGCACCACTCGGTCAACTGCCACCATATTACGGTCCACCAATGACAATGCCGATACCTCACCCGTTATACGACTACAACCTCGAACCGGCCTTTATTCGCAAAAGGAACGAAAGAGAACGCATTCGCGTACGACACGTCAATGAGGGGTACGCGCGTCTTCGTGAACATCTACCCGACGAACCCACAGATAAACGAATGTCAAAGGTAGAGACGCTACGGGCTGCTATCAGGTACATTAAACACTTGGAAAGCTTACTGGATGTCGGCAAAGATGAGAAACAGGATAAGAACAGTGCAGACACAGAGGAGAAAAGACAGGTATCTATAGAGGAAGAGAGGTAAAAAGAACACTTAATCGGTGTCTTTTTGTGTGATGTAATGTTCCGCTGTGAAGCTTGGAACAAGACAATCTCTACGCACAATCATGTCTCTCTGAATTCTGTGTGTGAGTCACCGAAATTGAAATTAGCGCATATGACTTTAAATTAAACAGAAGAATTACTCCATTAATTCAGGCAAGAGAGAGATCGTTTTTCTCGCTTGTGATGGTCCTTCCATTTTGTTAATAAATCAGAGTTAGAGTACGTTTTTAATGTTAAGTTTCTGCTTTGAGAAAACGAGGAAAACATAGAAACACGGAGTTAATAGATGAACAGGAAAATTTTAAATGACTGTAAATAGCCCTGTATAACATTGCGAATTTGCATAATTTAGTGGAAAAGTGTATTTAGCGGACAAAAGTTTCTCCGAAATGCATTCTTCAGCTCATTTTAATATGCTTCGAGACGTTGTGTATGAAGGTTATCTTCACAACAGTACCATTAAAATACACTTTTCGCCTTAACGCCTTGTTTAGATTTATTGGCTTTAATCTATTCGCGATCAGCAGCTTTTAATGGTTTATTATTCAAATAATAAACTTTTGTAACATTCGAAAGCTTGCGCGTAAGAAAGAGTAACAATAATTGTGGCAAGAAATGTAAATGGGAAATAAAGCCCGATATTTTTGCGTACTTTACAGTTGATACCATCAAGCATGAGAAAAACGAATAAATGTCCTACGAGACACAAAACGTCCCATAGTTTTATTAATAGAAAGCCTAACGAGTTGTCGCCTTTTCTACTGTTTCACGGGTTGCGCGCCAAGATGAAAGAGAACGTTTTTGGATACAAACGTTTCTCTTTGTTTTCAAAAAAGACTAGTACAATTCAGTAATTTACCGAAATGGTTAAACCGACTTTACTGCGCATGACAAGCAGCTCTCTTTGTGGTAAAGTACAGCTGTTCTAACAAATCGAACTTAGGTTTTATAACTTTGATGCAGCGTTGTGAAAGCTCCAATTTCAATTCCTGCTTTTTCTCATGATGAATTTATTATGGAGCACTACGTAATTCCTCTCATTTTCCATAACATAGCAAAGAACGTCTACGAACACCCAGGTCACAATTGTCTATCCTGCATGTAAGTCGCTTTTGTTCGCTATAATTGAGCGTGAACAAAGTGCGTTCTTTTACTTTGATATCATCGCTCGGAACACGGAACAAAAGACACATCACGTCAAAGAATGAGTCTTGCTTGTGGTTTTTGCTCTTACTTGCTTAGGTACATGGTCAGTTTTGTCAGGGATAATTTTCCTTGTCTAATGCTAATTCTTGATAGCTTACAAAACCGGAAAAAGAAGTCTTTCTTTACGGTGGATTAACCTAAATTCCTGGTTCGACTACAATTTGATGAGTAGCCTAGCAAAAGAATTAAACATCTGAGGAAGTTTTGTGAATTTTGATAGCGTTTACAAACCAAATTAGCCTCCCATAAGGATAGACAATCGTTTATTTTTTCTGATTTGTTTTTCCAGATTAAAAGATAATTATATGGGACAAGTTTGTTTTGTGCTTCATGCGGTTCGCTCCCGTGGTCAAAATTTCCGCTTAAGCTCGTCTCCACAATTTAGTAAGTGTTTTTCGTTAATTGGTCAAAGCAACGATCTCTTTAATTTCCGACGAGTTGTTATGCAAATGGGATCAATTATCCACAGCGGAGAGAAGGACTGAAATTATACTTAAGAATATTTGCAACAATGCTGTTTAGGAGAAAAGCACGGAAGCGTTATTTGTGATTCGCTCGCCACGTAAAATTTTGTATCAACTTTTCTAAATCCCGCAGCTTAACGGCTTCCCGAGAAGCACAATTACTTCGCTATGAAATAACCTTTATAAAAAGAAAGACGGTTGCTAATTTCTCCTGTTTATTCCGATCAACACAATAGCGTACCAATATTACAGTTAAATTAAGCAACTTCTGGAAGATCTTCTGACTCGAAAGCCTCATTTTTATGCTTGCTGTCTGAAGTAAAACAAACTTATAAAACGGAACAAAAGTTATAAAAGTAGGTGTCAGTCTTCATAAAGCAGCCTTAAAAGGCCACGTGGAATTAAGGTAACTGTAGGACTGATGGATAAACTGTATTTTTGGTTAAATTAAATCGAAATGCAACATTAATAAACCTTGAACGAAGACATTTGAAGATAAAATTTCCAATCTTAAGTATTTTCCTTCGTTGACTTCGGTTATCTCGTTTCGCTCTTCTACATTTATACCGGGGCTAGTTTAGTCAAGCTCAAAAAAACGTGTCTTATCATTTCGTCGTTCTTTTGTGTTCTAAAAGAAAACAATAAGCCGCATTGTATAAACTCACTTGACAGTTTAACTAGGTCGTTGTTCTTGTGAATTCCGTTTTCACAACATTTCAAAGGTGCATAGTGTATGCCTAGCAACGAAAACCTGCTCTTTTGCCGACAAAACCAAAAACTTTTCACACACAGTAAGAAAGGTAAACATCGTGCTGAGACTGTCTAAGGAAAAAACTGCCCTATTCACTCTGCTTCAAATGGAAGACACACTTTTAAACCTTGTGATGAAAACTTCAGTCGATTTTTATTACTGCAACAAGAGTTTCTATAGAGGATTGGGTTTCGCAATATCAAGCCATTGTTCACTAATTGAACTCCATTTTCCGCGCTACCAATCATTACTTGCAAAGCGTGGGTCGGAGATTTTGCTAAAGAATTTTAAACCGGCTATTTTAACTCTTTTGTCCCGAATTTTGTAACAGACAAAGGGCTTGAATAAATTCGACAAACATAGCATAGCCGATACCCTGTGGAAAGAGTAAACTCAATTTGGCTGTTTGTATCTCGAGCAATCACACGTGAAACATCGATAAACACCAGCTAGCTGGGTTTGTCATACGAAATTTCCGGGTTCCTCCTGTGGCCGACTCCTTCTCTATTATGCGATCTACAGATTTATGTGGGTGTTTTCCACGTGCTTCAAAAAATGCAAAACGTCACGCGAACACTTGGAGCCGATTACCCTCATATTTCGATAGTAAGCTCTTTTGCAAATCACCAGAATGTTTGTCCGCTAAAAATGAATTTTTCAAAAATATATATTTTTTTACCATTTGGCGCTCTCCCTTTGTACAGGCCGGAGCCTTTCAGTTCTTGAAACAAAACCTGGCTTAAAAGGTGTTTACAATTCATGAAAGCAACCAAGATTCGAAGTATGCCTCTGCCTTTCATTGTGGTAACAAGGATAAAAAAAAACCCTTCAACTGGTACCTCTAGGCCTTATTTGTCAACCACGAGGACGATAGATTAAAATCCTGCCTTCTGAAGTATCTAAAAATATCTTCAAAATCTTCCGTTTTGCAAGGCAAAGGTTAAGGTTTGAGTGATGTTTCCTTTTTATTTTCAACTTCTTAAGTCTAGGAAAACAAAGTGAACTCATGTTCATCGACAGCAGTCATTTGCTTCTTGTTTATTAATTTGACAGGACAGCCAGTCATGGTACATGATTTGCACAATCAACGAGGACAATCAATTTACTTTACCTGACTAAGATCAGTAAACAAAGCGCAGTTTAAAGAGACAAACAATTGTAACCAAAGGAGAATTCGTGCCAATAGATTTCCGTCGCTAAGTGATGAGATGACTTGTAAGAACGGGTAAGAAACTCCGCCGCTGCAAACTTCTGTTGCCCAGCCCCCCGGGTGACATCATCAGCCAAAGATAGGAAAATGGTATGGTATATATCTGGTTTTTCTATGCTATTTTTAAATTCAGACTTCTTTTGTATACCATCATCTGGACCAGGTGGAGCCAATTTCAGGGACAACTGATGATGAATTTTTGACAATGGCTTAAAAAAAATTTGTTAGTACATCTTCAAGCTCAGTGTTAACCCACTTTTCCCGAAAACGCTTCACTTGTTCCAGTTATATGGTATTTCTAAATCCTGTATATCGAACCCAGTTTTAACTCCGGAGTTGAAGGAGGCGCAAGGTGACAAAGGCATCAAGGGATCCATCTTTTAGTAAAAACTTTTGAAAAGGAAAATGGAGGAATATTCAGAACAGGAATAATTGACTAACACTGGCCGGGCTTTCGATACGCATATAATTTCTTTAGGCATTTCTCTCCAACAGGGAGATGTCAGTTTATGAAACTGAAGCTGATCAGCAAGTCAAAGTCTTAATTTGGCGAAAAAAACGTTTAAGACGCGTTTGTTAGATTTAGGAGCTCGTATTATGCTTTTCAACGTTTTGTGTAAGAAAGCAGATCTGTGCTTTTATCACAGAGCGAAGGACTGGTCTTTATATCTAATGCCCCATTCACACCAAAGCTTAAACATGTTTAAAAGTTGTTTTGTTAAACACAGTTTAATTTTTTTTTTTTTCATAGAAACTATTTAGCCGAATATTTTTGACTTGAATGTAGCACGCTTTCAATCAAAAAATCAAGTTTTTCAGTTCTCTGTTTATAATTTTCATTCAATGAAAACCAGTTTAACAAAACATGTTTTGCTGGTGTGAATGGGGTATAAGTTTCGATATGCAGATTTTCTGAAGAAATGCTTTCAATCAAATTGCTGTCGTGATTTCTTTCTGCAGTAGGAAGGTGCTACATTCATTTGCCATGTAGCATGCTATTACCACTATGCAAGGACCGGTACTTGAATTTATATGCAAGAATATGTTTCGACTTGAAGATGAGACGATGTGTGAAGTATATTGATCTTCACAGGCGCAATACAATTCGTCTCTTGTTATCTCATCCACGGGTCATGATCAAGATAATGTGCCAAGGGCTGAGAGCTGGGAGAAGTGAAATCGTTTGTGTATCATTTAAGCGCGGTTTACGAGTTGAAGTGCGTAAAGGATAATAAGGATAATCCTTGAAACTGCCACGCTTTTGTTTTTCTCAGTTGGTAGTACTTAAAGAAGAGGAAAGAATTTAAAAGTTTAATTTTGCGACCAGTTTGAACCATCATAGGCTTCCAAATAAACTTTGCAGAAAATCCATAAAAAGTAATTAGAATTCTAAAATGTTATACGATGACTTTTAGAGCACGCACTTTCGCAGAGAAAATTCAAGTTCGAAATGTTTTCCATTACTGGTAGAAGTTTGAGTGGACCAAATTCAAGCCACATTCATAGGTCAATGTTCTGCTCATCCACAGAAGCAATATGTTTCGTTTCGTTTCAGTGACAAATACTTTCTACCGAATTACCCCGTCGATACTTCATCTTTTTCCATGCTTACAGAGTCAGATGTTCCCTATAAAATTTCGGAAGTGTGTGGGTAATCAGTTTTGTCGGTTTTTCTCTTTGTTCTAAAGCTACGATTGTTTTTTTTAGAAAGCGATTTTTTCGCAAAGGCCAAGGTTCATCGCTAGTTAAAACCTCACAAAACTAAACAAGATGGACTGAACAGCTGTTATAGCACAATCCTATAGACATTAAATAGACGTCGATTATCTCAGCTTTACTTTTCTGTTATCCAGTTTGGCATATATTTGGCACCAGGCCTCTTGTAACCTACTCCCAAGGGAGACAAGAAGTCAGAGTACCATGGTGCAATGGAACCAAAAGACAAACTTACCCCTGGTATGGTTAAATATTAAAACGAGGATAAGACATCGAAAAGAATATCTTCACAT